CGCAGAGCCCGCAGACCCCACCGAGCAGGAGTCTGCGAATAGCGAGCGGTGCGAGCGGGCAGCGGTAGACACTGCGATAGACACTCGAAAAACTTTTTCAATATGAAAAGAAGCTGGCAAAGGAGACAAACTGTGGCTTTGGGCTACAATTGCACAGTGGTATAATCGATAACTGGCAAATATCGATTGTAAAAACAGATGTTTAACTAAAGATAATAAACTAACTATGCTTAGGAAATGATTCTCGATACCGAATATTGTATACTGCTGGCTTATGATCCCTTACAGTTCTATCAGCTAAAACCGTTTATCGATTACATTCACATAGACTTTAAACTTTATCGATATATCACACTTGTCCTCGATAATGATATAGGCGATAAACGATAACAATAGTCGAAGTCCGTGTCCTCATGAGGAATGATTCGATCAATGATAATGATAATGATAATGACAATGAGCAATAATATTCGATAACAACGAGTTTTCTATTTATAGTTTTTCAGTTAATATCAGTTATTCCATATCAAATAAATACGGATATAACGATATTTTAGATGACTTTTTATATGACATATAAATATATATACAAAAATATATCGCCAATCGATTAAATTACTTGCTTGTTGGCAACCATCAGACATTCGATTAAAATTAATTTATATTTATCGGATTGGATTGTCTTCCTTTATGACATGAAACCAAACGAAATATCGATTAATCGATCAATCACTGGTTAAATCATTCCGATTGGAACAATCCACTTATCGATCACTTACTTTTATGTGAGAGCAAATCAATCGATGCTGCAATTTGGCGCAGTTTGAACCACTGTGCATGGAACTGCCTGGCTGGCTGTCTGGCTGTCTGGCTGGCCGGCTGTCTCTATGTCTGCCTGGATGTGCACTGTGACAACAAGGAGACACTCGGAGACATATATTTATTTTCTTGTTCCATTTAAAAACTTTATTTATTGACGCTGATAGGAATCTAGTCATCTATCTGTGCGTTTAGCTGCGCTGCCGCCCGCCTCCGCCTGCGGCGCGGGTGGGGCACTCTGCATGGCCCCCAAATCCGATCTGCCTCTCTCTCTCTCTCTCTCTCTCTCCTGCTCGCTGCCTGTCATCTTTTGGGCGGCAAATGGCTTTCACATGTTCGCAGCTTCGGCAATAAAATCGAGATACAAATGCAACAAACTGAGCCAACAGCAACAACCAAACACTTTTGCGAAAAGACAAACAAAATGCTGAGATAAACATTGACCAAAAACTGACCCGTTCGCATAGACACAGAAAAGGGGGCGGCAGGGAGGCAGGCGGCTGGGATGGGTGGTCGGTCAGGTGAGCTGTTTTACCTGTGAGTTACATCCGTGTGAATACACAGGCTGCACACTAGAAAAGGGGTGGGAGAGCGGGGGGGGTCACTTGGTTCAATGTCGCATTTTATTGATGTCGCCAATAAACTGAAAGAGTGACAGAGCGAGAGAGGGAGCGGGAGCGGGTGAGTGGGAGCGAGAGCACACAATAAATAAAGTGGCGACGAGACAAGTTGAGCTGCGTTTGACTAAACTGTTTGGCCCTCGTCGTTGGGGAATGTTGGCAAAAGCGTCATAATCTAAAAATCTTGCCGCCGGCCGGCCACGAGACAAACAAAACAAAACAAGACAAACAAACAGCAACAACTACAGCAACAGCAACAACAACAGCAACAACAACAATGCAAACAGTCAGCCAGCCGCTTGGACTTTGCCCTTGGCCCCACCGCTCGGCACAAAGAGCGGCCTTTGTGGACGGCAATCGAAATCAGAATCCAAAATCCACACAACGACACACAATGCAATTTTCATTAAGCACCAAAGTTTCGAGCAGCTGCCTTTCAGTCGTACTCCCACACACACACGCACACACACACACACACACACACGTACCTAGTGGCGCCAAAGTAATAAGGCAAAAGTTCTAATGGCACATGAGGCCCACACAGATATGAATCCAGCTCCAGCCTCAGCTGAGGAAGTTGACCCACAACAAAGGAAGCGGATATGAGCTCGTCTAAGCCCAGAGAGTGTCTCTCTCTCTCTCTCTCTCTCTCTTTCCCACTCCCTCTCTCTGTGTGTGTTTGGGTGTCGTATGCAGCTGTTAGCAATTACCTTGCCTCCTTGAGGCAATAGCTCACATAATGAGCCGCCCTAATGAGTGGCTTTCATTTCAAATAATTGAGCGAATGGCCGAAGAGATAATTGCTATCAGTGCATACAATCGATATTTATTGAAGTGCAGCAAGGTATACGATAGTCGGCCCAGGTGTATACGGGTGTGTGGAATGAGCGGAAGCTGTCTCTATGACTAGATAAAGGATGTGTTTTATATGCAACATTTGTTGGGTCTATGCATGGAATACATTGATATGGGAACTTGGAATACATTGAGGAACAGACTATATAACTCTCTGTAACATTCCTTACGCGGCAGTTTTTATACACTCTATATAGACAAGATCGATATAGACCGGTTCATCTGTGATATACAAAATAAAATGCTTCAAATTGAAAGTATTTTCATATATCATATCATATCATACGTCGTAAAAATGCCTTTCATTTTGAATTTCAAAATGTTTTTAGGTTTGTATTATTTCATTTTTTGTATATCCTGAACCCATTGAAAATGGGAAATCTGGGTATAATGGTTTTGTTAAAAGTATGTAACAGGCAGAAGGAGGCGTGGCAGACTCCACAAAGTATATATATTCTTGATCAGGGCGACAAACTGAGGCGATTTGGCCCTGTCCGCCTGTCTGTCCGTCCGTCCGTCCGTATGTATGAACGCATCGATCTCAGAAGATATAAGAGCTAGAGACTTGAAATTTGTTTTCCTAGGTCCGTGTATATCACGCGCATATCGAATTTTTCTCTAAATATCGATAACTACTCCCGATATTTTATTATCGATTAAAACCCTTATCGAAAGCTAGTTATTTAATTATATCTCCTACACCTTTAGAGCTAGAGCTTGCAAATTTTAAATGTAGACTTATATGTATTTTATATAATTTCGATTTTGGTCGTAATTTACCCCCCACCCCTATATCCATATGATATACCATATGATTACGCTCTGAAAGTTTCATTAAGATTGTACATCTAGAAATTAAATTATTCAACAAATAAATTCTTATAATGTTGCCCACACTGCAGCGCAGCCCAAGCGCAGTCGCTGCTTACAGCGCAGTTAGCAGAGCGCGTTCTATTACGTTCGTGTAAAAGTATGTGTGTCGAAAAGAAGTGCAGGGTATCTCCAGTCTCGACTAGTTTTCTTACTTGTTTTATTTATACAAAGATTAATTCCCAGATCTTTCGGGGTTCGGGGATCTCGTATAGTTTACTTACATCATTCTTACTTGCTTTGTGATGAATTTAATTACTCATTATGACAAATCTGTATATTTTACTAAACAACTATAACTTTAGTGGCAATTCAATGTAATTGAAACAATAAATGATGTTTTATAATTATCATATTGCATATCCAAATAAAAATTTACTCCATAGTAAAATGCATTTCTGCTCACTTTGCAGTTCGTAGCGTACTTCTCAGTTTGCCTTGCGATTCTCAACTGGTTGCAGTCGGCTAATGAGCCAAATTCGGCTGGCAAATTTGGCCAATAGACTCTGTGAGCTGTGCTGCTCATTTGGTTTTGGGTTTCATGGCTTCCAATTGTTGCGGGTGTTTTATTGACAATTAAACTCTAATTAAATGTGAATGGCAACTCATTAGTTTGGAGTGCGAAACGTACGATAATATTTGAATAATATATTTGAGAGAAATTAAATCAGACATTTTAATTGGGGTATTTTAGAGCTATGTTGGTTCGTTATTGTTGTTGTTGTTGTTGTTGTTGTCTGTGTATTGCATAATACGTGAGAATTTGTACAATTAGCGCTCGGTTTGGATGTGGCGGTCAATGCCACGCCCACGCGACACGCCTACGCCAAAGATACGGCCGACTGCAGCCAAAATGCATTTCCAGCTAATTACAAAGCAAAAGTAAACAAAGCTTTAGACTCGAGTGGAAAGGCGGTTTAAGCCGAAAGTTAAGCGCTTATCAGAGCGACGCAGGCAATGGAAGCAGCAGCAGCAGCAGCAGCAGCAGAGGAGTTGCCGCAGCAGCCGCAATATTAATGAAGCCATCGCATACACGCATCACATAATTTTGTGCCCTTTAATGCCCCTTGCTGTCTGCCACGGACCCCGCCCCTAGGTCTGCCTCTGTTATTGCCACCCTTTGGCCGTCTCACGTTTTAGTTCAAAATTGATGATTTTCATTAACGACAAGTTAATAACTTAGGCCGCAGCCGTTTGGCGACTTCATTATCGATAGCAATCGAAAGGCAAACACAAGACATAAGCGACGCCTACTGTGTGCCTCGCCTCTGCCCGTGACCCGGGACAGGCCGACGCGTTTGGCGTTGTTTTGATATGCAATGTGGTTGGGTGCGATTTTGATGGCTGCAAGAACAACAAACAATGAGACGAGCGAACAAACAAACAACAATCAACAGCAGCAGCCTGTCACAAAATGTGTCGCCAAGTGGGCAAAAAAAATAAATGCAGAGCGATGCAAAACGCGCCAGCAACAAATGTTGCCAGCGCAGCAGCAGTAGCAGCAGCAGCAACAACAACCTGCTGGCAAAAATGTTGCCAAGCGACATTGAGTGCGCAAGCCAAATCGAGAGAGAGTGAGTATACGAACCAAACGAACAAGAGAGACAGAGAGAGCGAGAGCGAGAGCACGTCGTGGTGAGTTTGCACACACACAGCTAGTCAGCAACAATGTGGATGCTGTGCTCTGGCTGGCAGCATATGTTGCCAAACATACGAATGCAGACGCGATCAAATGCTGCACACGCACACAGCGACAGCGACAGACACACGCGCACACACACACACAGCCACACCAGGCAAACAGCCGCTGACTTCGTGGGCTGGTGCGCGCGCTTCGTGCCCGACGATTACACAGTCGACTGTGAACTGGCAGGCCGACTTGACGTTAACCGAAGACCGAACGACGACGACAAACAGAGCAACGACAACCACGACCTACGCGACTCGCGCGCGATTTAAAACGCCCTCAGCCCACGCACCAAAAAACGCTTGCGCGCGCTGCTCAGGACACTGCCTGGCAAACTGTGTAAAACAATTGAGTGTGTTTCTGTGCTTGTGCAATTCAACTAGCAACAATTAACAGTTAACAGTGAGATACATATACATTTTTTTTCGTGTGATTTGTGTGTGATTTTCGCATTGTGAACTGCGCCATGCAGCGCTGGCAACTGTTTCTCTTGAGCCTGGGCGCGATTTCAGCGCTGGCCAAGCGCAACGATGCGTTCCTCAAGATGCTGGCCATGCCCCGTGTCGAGGATCCGTGCTACGACTACGACAAGGCACGCGCCTGCATTCCGGACTTTGTGAACGCCGCCTACGATGCGCCCGTCGTGGCCAGCAGCACCTGTGGCGCCCAGCAGCCGCAGCGCTACTGCGAGTTCCAGGATCAGAGCAGCCGCGCGACTGGCTCCAGCTCCGGCTCCGGCTACAGCGCCGGCGAGTTGCAGTGCCACAGCTGCGAGGCGAACAGCTTTCCGCCACGCGCCCTCACCGATCTGAACAACTCCAATAACGTGACCTGCTGGCGATCGGCACCGATAGCGCCCGGCTCCAGCTATGCCGGCGGTGGCCAGTGGGGCGACAATGTCACCTTGACCCTGTCCCTGGGCAAGAAGTACGAGCTAACCTATGTCAGTCTGCAGTTCTGTCCCCGTGCCCCACGCCCCGACTCCCTGGTCATCTACAAGAGCTCCGACTACGGCCGCAGCTGGCAGCCGTTCCAGTACTACAGCTCACAGTGCCGCCGCCTCTTCGGCCGGCCCGCCCGCACCACCGTCACCAAGCACAACGAGCAGGAGGCGCGCTGCAGCGACGCCCATCGACATGGCCACGACGCCAACGGCGGCGGCGGCATGGCCTCGCGCATCGCCTTCAGCACGCTGGAGGGCCGACCCTCGGCTAGGGATCTGGACGCGTCGCCCGTGCTGCAGGACTGGGTGACGGCCACCGATATACGCATTGTCTTCTACCGCCTGCAGCAGCCCGATCCCCAGGCGCTGCTCAACATCGACGCGCCCGCCGACCTCCGCACCGGCAAATACAGCGTCCAGCTGGCGGGCAACAACATCGAGTCCATTGGCGCCGCTGCTTCCGCGTCGGCGGCTGCCACTGCTGCAGCCGGACTGCATTACGCCGTCTCCGACTTCTCCGTGGGTGGGCGCTGCAAGTGCAATGGCCACGCCTCCAAGTGCTCGCCGGATGCCAGCGGCCAGCTGAGCTGCGAGTGCCGCCACAATACGGACGGACGCGACTGCGAGCGCTGCAAGCCCTTCTACTTCGATCGGCCCTGGGGACGAGCCACGGCACGGGACGCCAACGAGTGCAAAAGTGAGTACACTGAGAGAAACCAGATACAAGTTTTTACTACATTTATTATAGAGGTTAATCTATATAGAGCGGATTTATGTTTATACCAAATTGAGTGACAACTGAAATAACTGCAAAAGTGAGTAGTACACTGCGAGAAATTGAAACTCCTCATTTACTAGACTCAACATTTAATTCCATATAAAGGCAAAAATTATGCTTTTACTAAATTGAGTTCAATTTAAGATTTTGATTCCAAGTGCAAAAATGAGTAATACACTGAGAGAAACTACATTTGAGTTGTTGCTAAATTTAAATTGAGACTTAAGTCTATAAGAAAAATGGATTTCAGTTTTTACTAAATTGAGTTTATATTGAATTTTGACTCCAACTGAAAAAATGAGGAGTACACTGAGAGAAACTACACTTGAGCCTTTACGTAATAGAGTTTGAATTGTGATTTGATTGAAAATTGAAATAAGCTTAAAAAGAAAAACAAACATTTCATTTCTAAAATCTGGAAATGTTCCAATTATATCGCAGCAATTCATCTGCTCGTGATTTATGGGATTTAACTTATTTTTAAACATATTTCCGATTGATGTTCCTCAACAATATATATTTCTCTTTGATATTTATGAGCATTTTATACATGTTTTTATTAAGCATAGAAAAAGTATTAAAAATTTATTGCACAAAATTTTGCGAACATCATATTGATTGCTTGAGCATTTAGATACCCATTGAGAATGGGCATTTGGCTGCAATGTGTGTAATAGGCAGGAGGAGGCGTGGTCGAGACCAGAAAACAAAATAATCATATTCTAGATCTCAGGATTAGAGCTACTTTACCGTAGCAGAAGAAACTTTCCACTGAATATGGGAATTTCTGCTTAAAAGATTTGGCTAATATGTAGGTAGCAGGAGGCGAGCAGGGGCAAGGGGCATAGGCGTTATCATAAATTATATATCAATTTATATATATGCTTAATCGGGATATTTTTGGCTGAGTTGATCTCGAGATAGAGAGAAGAGGAATACTTTAAGAATTTTTTTCCAGCCACTGAAAATCGAAATTTAGTGCAGAATGATTTGGCTTAAATGTAGTTATAATTACGTAAGCATATAATTATATGTATTATAGATCATGATCTAGATTCATCACTAGAATAGATCTAGTTCCTGTTCTCGAAACGACGAAATGTTTTCAGAAATTTTTGCACATTTTTATGGAAAATCTAATTTAAAATTTCTAAAAATTTCTTTGTATTATCGAAAAATGCCGTCAATTAGCAAAAATCTTAGGGAATATTTCATTTTCGATTTGCTCTTGACATGCCAAAATATTAAAAAAAAAAAAGAAGGAAAAGAAAACATTCGGCTACATTCTGTTGGCAGTGAGTTCTGAAGGAGTCGCTGGCGTGGGAGGGTTGGGCTGCTCTATGAATGATGAACTGCGAGTTCGTTGGGGTTGCTGAGGCTGAGGCTGAGCGTGTGGGTGTGGGTGTGGGTGTGGGTAGCTGGATGATTGGGTGGTGCTGGGTGGCCGGGGGTACGGCTTAAACGACTCAATTTCAATCCAGACGACGTTTCGAGTCGCGTGTGTTTAGTTTTCGACTTAAAAATTGGTGATGGCATTTTGAATGTTGCGGGGGTTGCAACGCGCCCAGAGAGAGGAGGGGGGAGGTAAGGCGTTGGTTGCTCTTTTTGTGAAAGATTTGATTTCCTTCTGCTTCTTCCTCCTCCACATAATGCACATATATTAGCGAGTGGCTCCAGTGGGTCGAGCGGGCGGCGTTCAGTGTTTGCGCTGCTGATTTGGCTTAAACATAATTGAACAACAGCGGACACGTGTGGAGTGCAGGGCACACGTAGAATCGCGCGAGCGCAATTTCAATCAATTGGCAACTGTTGGGCCAACCCTCGCTGGAAATCGACTCCTTTTACCTTTGGCCAGAGCATCGCATCAACAACAACGGCAAACAAACAACAAACAACAAACATGCAATCAATACTGCAACGCTTAAGGAAAGTCAGCTAAAGAAATAACCAGACCAAAAAGAGAGAGAGCGAGAGAGAGAGGGAGAGAGAGTGCGAGCTGGAGTGGAAGTGAGTGTGAGCGAGAGGCAACTAGTTGTATTGGCTCAGCTCAGCTCAGCTAAGCCCTCGCAATTAACCCCCTGCCCAGAGCAGCGCTCTCAGCTCAAACAATAAACGCGAATTTAAGCGAAATTAATTTGATAAGCATTTTCAAAAGAATCGAGGCGATTGTGAGCCGTCGAGTCGCGGGGGGTGTGGCGAGGGGGGTTGGGCGGCAGGCACTGCTGCTGCCTTAGGGGTAGCGTTTCTATTTCATATTTCATTTGTTTTGCTTGTATGTTCATTGCCATGTTGTTGTTGTTGTTGTTGTTGTGTCGTTATTTGTTGTGGCACGATCCGCAGCGGGGCAGCCAGCTGCAGCCCAGGCTCCAAATTTTGCAAATATATATATGTACATATTTATGTATGTATGTGTGTGTGTGAGTGTGTGTGTGTGTGTCTGTGCTCAGTCTCGCTCTGCGCTGGCCTTGTAAACGATGTGTCAATGTTTTTGTGGCACTTGCTGCAAGTGGCATGTACCGTGCGCATCTCGCGTGGATGCCACATGCCAAACATGCCACAGCAGCAACAGCAGCGGCAGCAGCAGCGTCAGCAGCAGCAACAATCAGATGAGAATTGCATTTTTCGCATGGCTCGAGGGGGGCGCGAGCGGGCGCGGCGCATAGACGAGCCGTTGCTTAGTGCATAAATCACACAGTGCGCCACGAAGTCCAGGCAAACAGGACAAACCAAAGGCCGAGGACATGGGCATTGCCCAGGCTGCCTGGAAAGCAGGCAGGCAGGCAGGCAGGCAATCTGTAGGGCGGGCAGGCGGGCGGGCGGGCAGGCAGGCAGGCGCGTCTGTTATCAGAGCTGGGCCACGTGTGGCAGCAACCGCTGCGCTTTATTAGGGTTGCAAATGCAGTGCAGGACGGCACGGCGACCCTTCCTGCCACGGGGCACGCCCCTTTGCCTGCCACGCATATGTTGCATGTTTATGGGCAAACGAAATTAACGCTCTGCCAAACTTTTGCCTTTGACGTTCAATGTGACCTCAACAACAGCAACAACTGCCGGCAATTACAGCCAACAACAACAACAACAACAACAACAACAGCAGCAGCAGCAACAGAAGAAAAAACCAGAGAAAATTGGAAAATTTTTGCGTCGCATCTCTACAAATATGCCTCATTTTTGGCACATAATGAGAGCGCTTGTGTGTGTGTGTGTGTGTGTGTGTGTGTGTGTGTGTGTGTGTGCGAGTGCGTATGCGTGTAATTGCTGTTAACAACAACTAATAACAACTAACGCCTCGTCCTGCGCTCAGAGATATGCAGCGAGCCCGCATAGATTTCAATTAGACGAACGTAATCCGACAGCCAAGCTGAAGTAGTCATTGCACTGTGGACACACATACACATTTTTGTGGGCATAAAATTAGAGCTGCTGAAGCCTTACATGAATATCTAAACAGCTAACACTTATGGAAAGCTTCCGCTATTATTTATATGTTTATAATTATATATCTATGCATATACTCTTATATATGTTCTATATTATATAAGTAAATACTTCAAGTAAATAAAATCGATCTGTTTCAAATTTGTTCTATGGGACACTGTTAGTTAGTGTTACTCAGTTAGTATTCATTTTAATTATTCCCAACTACTATAAACAAATAAATATATTTATTCAGGCATCCCAGAGTTTCATAAGCCATTTATCAATTATATTTAAATTTTCACTTCTTAATTTTATTTAAATTATATTCAACTATTCAACTTTCTTGAAAACCTTCCGTAAAAAAATTCCAATTCTCTAGAATTAATAGGAAGTTTTGCAGGAAGCTAAATGCCTAGTGATTCGAAATATTACAGACAAAGTAAAATTTTAGTTTTTTGCATTTAATTATTTTAATTAAATCACATTCAACTTTTCACTTTGTCTAAAAAAAACGTTCATACAAAATTCCAAATCTCTCGATATTTGGCCCATAGTAGCTAGGCTAGGCTAGGCATGTGGCGGGCGCTTGAGACTGTGCTGCCACATTTGTAGCATCACACACACACGCACACACACACACACATTGCACAGTACTGCGAGTCTATGCAAATTGTCAGTTCTTGTCATGCTTCCAATATAAATTGACTTGCCTAGGCAGCAATTTGATTTGCTCTCAGCTCAATGAAATTGTAGACAATTTCCCATAAGCCGAAAGAAAATACAAATACAAATGGACCAAAAGATGCAGCTGCATCAGGCAAAGCGCATCAATTCTAATTTAGCTGAATTCAATGACAAATTTTCCTTTTGGCAAGGCAGGAAAAACTAAAATTAGTTGACTATAAAACAGAGTTAATCCATTAGCAGATGTCTTTAGTCGAAAAATGTTAAATTTTTGCCAGCTAGACTTTAATTCTCGTGCTAGGTCAAAGGTCTTTGGGGCCTTCATTTTTTTTTTTTTTTTTTTTTTTGTACCCCTGTCAGCTGCTCACTAATCACATGCAAACGTGCCACGCCTCATTTATATGGCCAATGAATGGCACATTAGCAGCACTTTATCATAATTAAAATGCAAGCCATGCCACACACACACACAGAGAGAGCGACGCCCACCCAGCTGAGGCGCCCACATCAGGCAGGCGCCGAAAAAAAACATTTGCAAAAAATAAATAAAAAATAACGAAGAGGAAAAATAAAGAGAAATAGCTATTGGAGAAGAAACTGGCAAAGATTTAGAAATAGTTGATGCCAGCAACAACAACAACAACAGCAACAACGCCAACAACAACAACAACAATGAAATCTGCTGCATTATAATAAAAGCAAATTCAAGGCATCTAAAATTAAATCGCAGCCGCAGTTGAGTTGAGTTGAGTTGAGTTGAGTTGAGTTGGTTTTATTTTCTTTTTCTTGTGGTTGGGGATGCGGCAATAAATAAA